AGCTGCCAGATGTAGTGCTGAGGACAGACCTCAGGTCCTCTGAAAGAACATCAAGTGCTGTTGATGGCTGAACCATCTCTCTAGCTCTGTCATTTATTTTTCTTGATCATACCCCTTCTAACTGGGGTGAGGTAGAATCTCAAGGCGGCTTTAATTTGCATTTCCCTGACACAAACAGCCTATGATTTTTTTGTTTTTGTTTTTTGAGACAGGGTCTCCCTGTAGCCCCAAATGACCTGGAACTTGCTATGTAGACCAGGCTGGCCTTGATCTTACAGAGATCCACTTGCCTCTGCCTCCCTCCAGAGTGCTTAGATTAAAAGTGTCTGCCTAGAGTTGACTTTCTTAATCACAAAAATACAATTATAGAATATATTTTGGAGCATAATTTTTCTAGGCCAATTATATGCAATTGACTCATTCCTTTTTATCCATTACTATAAAACATTTTCAAACAAAAGATGGAAGAATTAAATGGTCAGTAGTTAAATACCACCTATTTCTGCATTTAATGTTTTACTGTATTTGTTTTTATCACATACTTACCTATCTATTCCTCAGTGTGTCCATCAATATATTTCAAAGCATTGTTCTCAAATATAACTTTTGAAAAATAGATGCATCAAGGTGAGGTTTGATAGTTTATTTATAATGTTCTGTTTTGCTATTTCAAACAATGCAGAAATAAACACTTATGTATTTATCTTGTACTTTAATGTTACTTGCCTTATACTAATAGTGCTTTTACGTCAGTAGGGTAGAGTCCTAAAAATTGTATTAGTAGGTAACCCATAAAGGGATATTCCTAGCTCAGATACCATGGGACTGCTTCCCGCTAGCATCTTGACACCAGCAACCTGGAGGAGGGCCTGCTCTTCTCCTCGTCTTACGTTATTGCTGCTGAAGAAATGTGGACTTAAAACACATAGACATGGAGTTCTCTGGATGCCTTATGTACACAAACAATATGTAGACATCCTTCTCTCACTGGATGTCATCAGTGTTTAAAATTTTGCCCACCTCTGCTAAAACAATTCATCAGTTAATACCAGCTCAGAAGGTAACAACAGATCCCACCTTTCATTTCCTGGAAGAATGCTTGCCTTTTTAGGGATCTCTTAACTCTGTGTGTTGCCTCATCCTAGACCAATGTTATGCTGTGTGTGTGTGTGTGTGTGTGTGTGTGTGTGTGTGTGTACACCTATACATGTGCATCACAAGTATGCTTCAGGCTTTCCAGTAGAAAGTGGTAAGATCGGTGCCTCTCTTGTCTTTGGATCCTCTGCTTAGCGTCATGTCTTATATTTGATAAATGATTCTTGCTGAATAAATTAGTGAACATGTTGAAGAGAAGGTCAGAGAAGCAGAGAGTGGCCAAAACCTGGAGTCTTTATATGCCGACCCAGTGAATCGGAAGTGTATGCTCTATTCAGAAACCATAGATGTCTGAGCTGTCAGAGAAGATAAGAGCTAAGGCATGGGGACTGAATCCTGGGACAAGACTAAGGTAGAAGGCAAAACAGGCCCCAAACAGTCCCTGGGAGGTGCAGACCTAGGTTTAACAGTATACCTTTTCTTTTTTCTTCCCTTCTATGGTGCCAGGAATTAAACTCAAGGCTTTTTACCTGCTAGGCAAAAAAAATGTTCCACCCCTGAGCTATACCAGCCTGGTAGTTTCTTTAGGACAGCTAAGCTGAGGCCTGCAGCCATCCATGAGCATATGCAGTGTTTTATTTTAATTTTTAGATTTATTGTAGAAAATACAATAGAAAATTGTTGTAGAAAATATTGATAAAATATATTTCTACAATAAGAAAAATATTGTAGAAAATTCAGAGCAACAAGATAATACTACTCAGAAATCCTACCATATAGAGAAAAAATTTACACTTTGGTATAATCTCACGTTTTCCTATGACATACAGATACAATGAATATGTGAAATTTAAATATTTTCTTATATTAATCACATGTATATATTTAATGAATATGTAGATTTTATTTATATATGTCTTCATATACTAAATCATTAATTCTTCATCAGATTTTCTTCTATGTTAGCTAAAAAATGTCATCTGTCTTCAACATTTCACCTTGAGGACTTGGCACAGAATAAGTGCTCCATACATATTTATTAAATGATTGAGTGAAAAGCATTATTGCCAGCTCATCACATAAGATAAACAGCCCTAACGCCCTATACTTAGTGTACTTCTTTTGTTAGTGAGTTGTTGTTTGTTTTGTGCTTTTTCTTTTTGTGGTGTGTGTGTTGTGGCATGCATGCCTATGGAGGTCAGAGGTGAGTGTCACCTGTCTTCCTCTCTGCACCTTTTAAAAAATATTTATGTATATGTGTGCGTGTCTATGTGTGTGTATGTGCATCACATAGGTGCCTGGTGCCTGCAGAGGTCAGGAGAGGGTGTCCCTGAGACCCTGGAACTGGAGTTACAGGCAGTAGAGAACCACCATGTGGGCACTGGAACCCAACCTAGTGTTCTTAACCACTGAGCTATCTCTTCGGCCCCTGCACCTTGGTTTTTGAGACAGACTCACTGAATCTGGAGAACTGTTTTCTTTAGACCAGCTGGCCAAGAACTCTCAGTGATGGCTTGTCTCCTTCCCTTCAGCCCCCAGCACTGGAACCTGTGAAGGCAGAGCTTTGGTATCAGTGACGCTGACAGCCTATCTCTCTTGCTCAGCCTCCTTACCACCTAGAGACTCCAACCAAGGCTCAGGGCCCCAAGTGGGTGCTGGGGATCCAAACCCAGGCTCTCAGGCACCTGACTTACACTAAGCCATCTCCCCAACCCGTTTATGTTATTTCCCCTAGAAGAAATATGGTTTAAAATGTATAAACATGGGATCCTCAGGATACCTATTAATACAAATAATACTTAGTCTCTTCAGCACTTATAAATATGGCACTGGTTTTTCTGGATACTTTTTAATACTTTTTCAAACATCTGAACATCAGTTACTTAACCAAGATTACCATTTACTAGGTAGACACCACTTTCTTCCCTCCCTAGATTCGACAGGAGAGGAAAAATGGGAAAATAATGTTGAACAGCAAGACTTAAAAAATTATCTACGACACCTTTTCCTAAGTGAAAGGCTGGTGTAAGAACCAGGCTTTTCCAGTAGATGGCACTATTTTCTTTCGTCCGCAAAAAGTGTTTTTGACTATTTGCCTGGAGGTGACCCCGCCTCCCCTCTTCCCCACCGGCTTTGTCCTTCTTGTTTGTCAGTAGCAGATGACAATAAATAAGTTACTGATGTGTCTTCGGGTTTTTTTTTTCTTAAAAGTATTTTGGGGGACATCTAAAAGCTCCAGATAGAGAACATCTGCCTTGGCGCTGTGTATAAGCGAGAACTAACAAGGTGGCCAATTCCTAACCATCTTCCCCATGTCCTGATAGAAGTTACTACTTAGGAGCAGCTGTTAGATCTATAAAGCTTTTCTGCCCGTATTTTAATAAAACGAAGTAAAAGTAAAACACCATCTCCAAATTTAATGTTTTCTAAATACAGCAAAATATTCATCAAATAATGCAGATATCTTTCCCTGACTTCTGAAAATTCAGTCTATTGTGATGGAGACATTTGGAAGACATTTTGACACTCCGCAAGCCCTTTCAGTACCCTAACAGATGGTAAATTGTCTGACACGACCTAAACAGCCGCAGAAACTGTCTGAGGGAGGGAAGCCTGGAATTGAAATTCCAGAGACAAGTGCAGAAGCCATAGGACGGAAGGAAGTGCTGATTAGTGGAGAACCACCTCCGACACTTCATCTTCAAAATATTGTGTTAGAGTAAGGCAGGGTGGTTCTGAAGGCTGCGGTTTGCTTTTCTTTTTGTATTTATAAAAGTTCTCTTTTATAAAAAGGCCTCAGGAGAAGATGTTCGAGGGCTCGGGATTTCCTCTGGAAACAAGCCGGATTTTGACTAAGTCCTTGTGAATACTAATTAGAAGGTGAAGAGATTTTTAGGTTGTAGAGTCTTTTTATCCAACTCTGCTTTCGAGACTAGCCAGAGGCACTTTCCCGGCTACTCCGCGCGGTGATCTAGAACCTCCCGCAAGGATCCCCAGCCTGGGCCCAGGCGTGATGCAGGCGCAGGGAAAGGCAGCGGTCTAGGGACGTCCGGGAGCCGACAGGTGGCCCAGCTCCGCCTTCCAGCCGCCCTAGGCGGCTCGAGCCACAGCCGCAGGCCCCCAGCCGCCGCCGCGCGCCCAGCCTAGCTGGCGACCAGGCTCTAGAAAGTGACCGCCTCCCCGGCGGGGAGAGCGAGGCCGGGGAGGGACTCCGGTGACCGCGAGGCCGAGAGTATCCAGCTCCCGTCTTAGGCCGAGGGTGATCCGCTAGGCACCGCTCACGTTATGGGACAAGGACCGCATCTAGTCCAGAGCCCGGGCACGTCCATGGTCCTCTTCCACTTTGCGCATCTCAGACCCCAGGAAGCAGCCCAAGCCCCCAGCGACAGTGAATCCGCCGGCCACGCAGGTCGGCCACCCACGGGTCCCAGCAGGGCCAAAGGGTCACCGAACCCGGCCAGCCACATTCCCAAGGATGAGCGGCGGGTGGCAGCACTGTCCCGGCTCCAGCGTCGGAGGGGTCTCCTCGAGCCCCGGCTCGGATGGCTCCCGCACCGGGGCGGCCGGAGGACGTGCGGGCGGCAGCCGGGAGGAATTTGCTCGGAACCCTCCCCTTCCCCAAACTTCTCAGCTCCGCGTTTGCGTCTATCCCTGCTCTCCGCGCCGTCCCGCTCCTCCCCCTGGCCTCCCTCCTCCTCCCTGGTCCCCGAGCTCTGGAATCCATCCCTCCCCCCAGCCCTCGGGCCCTGGGATCCTCCCCCGACTCCCCCCGCGTGCCGCCGCCGCCGCCGCCGCCCGGGTTCCTCCCCCCCACCCCCGCCCCGCTCGGGCGCTCCCTGCCAAGCCCATGATGTAATGGTGTATGTTAATCAGTAGCATGTGGGGAGCTCCGGCTCAGGCGGCTCAGTCCTCCGCCAACCGACGCTGGAGGCAGCAGCAGCGGCGGCCGCAGAGCCCCGAACCCGCAGCGCCGCACTCTCCCCCCGCCGCCCGCCCCGACGGCATGGCCCGCAGCCGGAGCTCCCGGCGCCCCCAACCCCGTTGAACGCCGCCGCGGCCCCGGACCCGCGCGCAGGGCCCCGAGCCGCCGGGATGCGCCGGGCAGAGGTGAGCGTCCCTTCCGTCCTGACCCGGCGCAGCGAACCCAGCCCGGCCTCCCTCGGACCCGGGAGTTCTAGGTGCTGGAAGCCACTGTCCCGCGGGCTAGGCGGTTGGACTCTCCTCCCGGCCTCCCGTGGCCACCAGAGCTGGGATGGGACTCCGGGAGCCCCCAAACCTAACTTTCTTCTTGGCGGTCCTTGGGGGGGCGTGTGTGGACTGCGGGGATCTGCATTCCCGGCAGGGACCGCCCTGCCGCGGGGGGGAAAGCGGCGCTCAAGGTTCGCGTGGTCCGTGGCCGTGGCGTGGATCCGCAACCACCTGGTCTTCGGCCTGGGACGGGCGGCAGAGGATAGACCCGCGGGTGGGCGGCGGCGGCGGGAGCAGGGTGTCTAAATCACACCCGCGCGCACACACACGGGCGCACACGCACGCATTGGTCTGATGGCTCCGGACCTAGCAGGCCCTGGGGGACCTCCCCGGTGGTCAGGCGCGGCGTTGGGGACTCAGGGCTCCGACTGAGCGGCGCAGAGCTTTGGGTGGGGAGAGTTTATTTTTGTCTCGAGCTGCAGCCGCGGCTGCTCACGGCCTAAATCCTGGCGGTGGAGATGCTGGCGGTTGCTGTAGATGGAGCTGCAGCCGTTCCACTGCTTCTCCAGGAGGAGGAGGAGGAGGAGGAGGAGGATGGAAGAGGAAGAGGGAGGAGGAAGGAGGAGGGGGGAGGAAGGAGGAGGAGGGGGAGGAGGAAGGAGGAGACGATTGGAACTGGGGTTGCCTCTGCCACCGCCTCTGCTTTGCATTAGCCCCCACCCCCACTCCCGCGCCCCTTCGCAGCCGCAGTGCAAGTTTTCTGCGCGGGGAAGATCTGTTGCTGGTGCTGTGGTTCGCCAACACAGCCCCAGAGGCCACCCCGGGTGGGGCGTGCAGGGAGCACCAGCCGACCGCAGCCGCAGCAACAGGAAGCCGCGGGATCTCCTCCCGCACCTGGGAAGGAAGCTCGGGAATAGCTCAGCTAGCGAATCCCAGTCCCGAGGGGTCGGCTGGAATCTCGGGGCGGGGGGACTTGGCCTCGGCGGGACGCCCCCAACCTCCGCTTCCACACACCCCTTCCCCGGCTCCCCCTGATGCACGGGTCGGGCTGGATGCGCTCCTCCGCGCGCGCAGGTCTCACTGCAGCCCTTTCTCTCCTTCCAGTGGTGATCTCCGCTTGGGAATGCGGGTGTGAAGGGTCCGAGCTGACACCCAGCGGGGAGGAGACCCCGGGACGCCGGAAATCACCATCCCGAAGCTGAGAAGAGGGGCAAGCGCATTCTGCATTCAGTTGTGTGCCTTGTGAGGGATTTTTAAATTTTTAATCGCTATTTTTTTAAAAAAACAAACAAAAAGAAACATTTCCGTGCTACTGTCTATCATCATCTCTGGGGAAATCAACCAGAACCACTGGAACGTCACGGAAACCAGACGACAGTCAGGAACCTCAGTACCTGCAGCGTCCGGGCGCCGGAGCCACCTTGGAACCCCAAACGCGTCTCGGGAGGCCGTGGGGCTGCGGCTCCGCCAAACTTTGGGGCGGGCGGGGGAGCCGAGGGGCTTCGTAGACGGAGGGCCGCCCCCTAACCATGATGTTTCGCGACCAGGTCGGGGTGCTGGCGGGCTGGTTTAAGGGCTGGAACGAGTGCGAGCAGACTGTTGCGCTGCTGTCGCTGCTGAAGCGAGTAAGCCAGACCCAGGCCCGCTTCCTCCAGCTGTGCCTGGAGCACTCGCTGGCCGACTGCGCCGAGCTGCACGTTCTGGAAGGAGAAGCCAACAGCCCGGGTAAGTGCTGGGCCCGGGGTCAGGGGCTCCCCAGCCTCTCGGCTCCCCGCCTCCGGCCCGAGCCCCGCCCCCCGCCCCAGGCTCCACTGGGCAGAGACCCGGTCCCCAGCGGTCCCAGGCATCTGCCAAGGACCTGGTCCCCTCCTCACCTCAACCTCCAAAGCTTTGGGGCTTTGCCCATTGTAAACTCCTTAGTCTATTCCGTATGGTAGCTACAGTAGCATGAATGATTGATTTTTCTCTCATGCGCTTTCCTTGGAAATAAGTAAGTCAGGTCACGTAGAGTCTGGATTTTCTGGGCTTTTCCCCTCCCTTCGCTTCCCTTGGGCAACGTGGCTCGCTGGATTTTAGCTACACTCGAGGAAGCACCAGACTGCCCCTTCAGTAGCCAAGCTCAGACAGACTGTAAGAATGCTTGAAAATGCAATTTTATTATCCATTTTTCCCCACGGACAGTACTGCTTTAGAGGTTCGTCTATGTAGGTGACGCCACAGACTGTCAAAATGACATTTGCAGCGTGGCTGTGATACGACTATACTTACTGGCCGTGATGTTATCCGCATTGGGAATGGATCTTGTAGGAAGAGCAGGCATGGATTGAGCTGCACAGCGCGTGCCTTTTGTTAGGAAACTTTACCACACGGAACAGAATTGTTTCATGGTAGCCTTCTAGTATTTACAGACACCTCAAGCACTATAGAAAGTGAAATATAGTAGGAAGGTTCAGCAATTTGCCATCTGCCACTATGGGTGTGACAAAGTGAAATTGTACCACAAGTAAGGGGAGACTGGGGGTGGGGCAAAGGCCTGAGGATTGTGATTTTGGACAGGGGAAATTGTTTGGTTCTTGCTGGGCAGGAGGATGAACAGAGCCCCCAGTGTTTATGCAGGGTAAAGAATGCAGGGTCTCCTTCCAGCTGTTCCATGTTAGCTGTGAGCCTGCAAGACTCCTAGGTCTGTGCTGCCATTTGTTGACAAGGTCCAGTCCTGGGCAGTAGGGACTGGGAGAGGCTCAGAGGGCCCAGGCCAGAGGAGGGCCTGTGGCTTCCTCATTCCTCCCTTCTGATACAACCGCTCATGATGCTGAAAACACTAGAATGGGATGTTTCCATATATAGAATCGTAGGGTGGAAGTGGTGCTGGAAATCCTCGCAGGCCTTTCCTGACTGCACCCATAGGATCCTGAACTGCCAAGTATGGAGGGTCATTTTGAGGGAGACTTTGTTCAGCTCCAGTCTGGCAGCCAGGCCGCTACTCAGAACGGCACAGTGACGGGGCCCTCCTGGCTGGGACTGGAACAGCCACATTTATAAATAGCCAGGCCAGCCTCCTTTCTCGGTCGTAGAAGCAAGAGGAGGGTGACTGATGGCTTGCTGTGCCTCTGTTCTTAATGCCACCCGGAGGCCCATTCCACCTGCTTGCTTTTGCTTCCTCAGATTGGACAAACAAGGTTATATAAACTTTTCTTTTTGTGGATCGCAGAGACTCTAAGCACAGTACAGCCCTTTCTGTCAAATGCTGTCTTCAGTGAGGGGACTGTTTAAACTAATGATAGTCCATCTTTATGGCAGTAGCATTTTTTTTTCTCTCTGAGAAACGAAGGATTCTTGCCAGTAAAGCAACTATCAAGCCAGTAAACACAGCAATTAGATGTGTGATGCTAAGAAGTTGCTTCATTCAAAAAGCTTATAATTGAACAGTTAAAAAATTAAAATTCAGTGAGTTTTGAGGAACATTTGATAATTTTTCTCCTTCAAACTTTAAAGAAGTCATACTTACTATGTAAAATACCTACCAATGTTTGCTGTGAAAATGATATAGAAATATAAAATATAAAGCCATTATGTAAAGTAGAGACCATGTTACAGTTTCTGGATTGATCTTTCAACCTAAACATTTTGCCTGCATGGAAACCTTTCTACTTGCTTTGTTAATGTGGTTGGACAGAGATTCTCAAGGGAGGTGAGATGATGGTTTATTCTCAGAGGATGAAAAACCTAAAGTTTTGTCTAAGCAAACCTGTTGTACCTCTCCGGCTTATCTAGACCTTAGCCAAGTACCAGGAAGGAAGTGAAAATCTACACTTATTAACCAAAGTAGACAGTATAAAATACAGAAAGAGAGAAAGAGAAAACTTCAGACATTCTCAGAACATCTTGTTTTTGTAGATATAATCCTCTTTTCTTTTTTTTCTTTTCTTTTTCTTTTTTTTTTTTTTTTTTGAGAAAGGATCTCATGCAGCCCAGGCTGGCTTCAACTTTACTACAGAATGAGGAAGATAACCTTGAACTTCTGATCTTTCCCCTTTGACTTCCTGAGGCCTGGGAGCAGAGGTATGCTGGGGATTGAACTCAGGGCCTTAACATGTAAGACAAGCACTCTATCAACTGAGGTACATCCCCAGGCTCATAGAATCCTTTTTTTAAGTTTAAACAATAATTCACAGTGTATTAGGAATTGCATATTTAGAATAGGGCCAGAGGAACCAGGAGTGAGAAGTGATCTTAAATAACATGACTTCTAAAAAGAAGTGTAGTTCAAGACTCAGGAGCTGGAGCAAAACCCAAGAAGTCTCAGGATGCCCAAGTTAGAAACCCTTAACTGACCCTACAGATGTCCCTTTGAATTAACATAAATCAATGATTTTTATTTGCTGGTGATAGCAGCAAAGTACCAAACAGGTACCTTTGAAAAAATACCCTTTTAAGAAGGCAGGGAAATGTTTGGTATAGGTGGAAAATATTTACACACAAGATAATTAACCTCCAAACTATGCCTTACCAATTCAGAAACCTAGGCTGTGCTGAATGATTCATCACTGAGTGGCTGAAATTTCCTACGCCCAAGTCATTCTGTATCATCTAGTTTGCAGTTACCAACTACAACATACATTTTCATTTAGTGGGAATCAAATATTGGAAATCTGTGGGATGTCTTTTGATACTAACTTTTCATTTCCTTAAATTTACTAAGAATCTAGAGATTCATTAGTTTATCCTTTGCTTCAGGTTCATCACCATCAGAGATCCAAAGAAAGGAGTTGGTTCAGTTTCTATCATGGTTTAGATGTGGAGTGTCCCAAAGGCCTGTGTGTTGGAAGTGCCATTCCCCACTCAGTTCCCAGCTGTGCACTATTGTAAGGTGATGAGACCTTTAATAAGTGGAGTCTAGGGCTGGAGAGATGGCTCAGTGGTTAAGAGCACTGGCTGCTCTTGCAGAGGACCCAGGTTTCCAGCACCCATGTGGTAGCTAACAACCATTTGTAACTCCAGTTCCAGGGGAATCTGATGCCCACTTCTGACTTCTGTGGGAATTGCATGACATAGTTGTACTTACATGCATGCAGGCAATATACTCATATACATAAAATCATATACATAAAATGGTTGGGTTTTTTTTTGGTCTTTTTGAGACAGGGTCTCCCTGTAGCCCCAGCTGTCCTGAAACTCACTATGTAGACCAGACTGGCCTTAAACTCACAGAGATCCGCCTGCCTCTGCCTCCCGAGTGCTGGGATTAAAGCTGTGCACCACCACGCCCTGCTAATAAAATGTTTTTTTAAAAAAGAAACAATGGAGTCTAGTAGGAGGCTTCAGATCACTGGGGGCCTGCCTTTGGAAAGAGTAGCCCAACCTGACCCTTCCTTCCTCTTTTCTTTGTCTCTCTGACCACATGTGAATGTTTTTGCTCTGCCATAAGATGTTACAACAGGCCCAAGACAGCAGGGCCAACTGTTCATGGACTTAAACCTCCAAAACTGTGAGCCAAAATAAACCCTTTCTTTTTGTAAACTGATTACCTCAGGAATTTGTTACAGTAACACAAAGCTGACTAACGCTCATGGATTTGAGTGACTGTTGGCCTTTTTGCCCCAGGCTTGTTGTCAAGAGTATTTGTCATGTCACTCCTCTAAGTAGCACCATGTTTCCAGGACTCTCATGACCTTAGGTCAGGGTGCTTCAGGTTCTAGCCTGGGCTCGCATTGTGTCTTCAATGTAGATAACTCGTTCTGGGACTAGCAGGTCCTTTAATATTTGCATAATGGCAAAAATTAAAATTCCTCAACCCCATTTTCAGTTTCACAAAGAAAACTAGCTGTGTAGTATTGTTTATGACTTTTTGTCATTTGGAGTTGAAATTCATTTTTTAGTGGAAAGAGTATAAATCAAGACTTACAAGTTAATCTATGAAAACTTTTGTTACAAAATAGCACATATTTTGAAGGGAATTATGTGTGTTTATAGAAAGTAAATGGCAAAAGATTGTTGCTTAATTATATAATTAAATACTAGAGAAAGGATTATCTGAGCTGGTCATGCTTGAGATGAAAACGGCTGGAAGATGAAGGACACTGGTGGTGTGTTTGCTGTTGTTAGTGGGTGAGGTGCTGGTTCTGTGGCTTTCATGGCTTTGGGTTTCCATAGGACAGGTATTCTGTCTTCTACCCTCACTTGCTTTTTTAAGATCAGAAGTGAAGTAAAAAAAAAAAAAAAGGCAGCAGAAGAGGGGGGTTTGCTTGATGGTGTAAATAAGATATTATTTATAGTTTTTTCATTCATTTATTCACTCAACAAACACTTTCTGACTGCCTACTATTTTTCTCAGGAAATCCTCAGGAATACAAAGGTAACCTGCTCTAGTCCAGTGCCTGGTACATAATAGATATTCTCAACATTGAGTGAATAACTAATACAGACTCATAGGCTCTTGAGCATAGATACAGGGATGAGACACAGAAGGAGGCATGCTGGCGCACTAGAATGCAGCAGCAAATTGCTCTGGTGAAGGCATAGAAGACTTCACTGAGCCAGATATATAGTTGACTTGAGTCTAGAAAGGTGAATAAGAATTGCTTCTGTGTATAAAGAAGATTACAACGAGGAGTTAAGAACACATTTCTTTTATTTTTCTCTTTCCTTTTGGTCTTTTTGAGACAGGGTCTCCCTGTAGCCCCAGCTGGCCTGGAACTCACTATGTAGACCAGACTGGCCTTGAACTC